AAAAAATTAAAATAAGTAAAAGGCCCTTATATTTATTCATACATATACTTTGAAAGTAGATAATGAGCACCAAGAGCTATCATTATGTTTGCCATTAAGTCAGCTCTTAATACATATGATGCATTATTATTTCTATTCAACTATGCAAATATGGACTGTAAAGAAAATCATTTACTAAAATAATATGCTGTTATGGCTACACTGCTTTACAAAGTTTACTTTAACCCTTTAAGGTTTATAATCTCTATTATATGAATTCATTATTGTAATTAAAATGTTAACCTTTACTTATTTTCCATTAAATGTTAATCATAGAAAAAGTACTAGATTAGGATTAAATAATTTGTTCTATTAAATGTCAAAGATTCTCTTTTTTGATCTGTTGCTGCATGTGTGCCATAAACAAGACATTTAACATATCTCATTCTCAGTGTTCCCTACTGTGACATGAGAAAATATAAATTCCTTCATGATTTCAATATGCGAAATATGAACTCCATTGACAATTTCAGGCATAAACAACTTTAAGAAACATTTCTACTTAATTATTTATAATCTGTAGAATTTTAAGAAAGAATTAAAACCATTCAAGTGATTCAATATGGATATAGTCTCTAGGGAGAGAACAGAATGATAAAAATGTAATTCTAATGCAGCTCTAAAATTGTGATGATCCTTCCGTTCTTGAGCAGAAATTTAGACTGATTTTGAGAAGGCATAAAATATTTCATAGCTACGTATAATATAATAACCCACATACCTTAAAGAGACAATAAAATTATATTTTTTACTCACACTAGCTTTTACCAGCTCTCATTCAATCACTAGCCAAATATTCATTATGATATATACTCATCTCAGTACTTAAATGAATATCCAAAAAAAATCAGTTTCTGTTTCAAGAGCTTGTTTAGTATAGTTGAGGAGGTTTCAGCTTACCATGAAATATAGAATATAGACAGGTTACCATAAATAACTCCTGTGAGAATGAAAAAGAGGTTTGAAGTAATTGCAACTCTAGGAATTAAATATATGGTATATCAATGTGTAGTTGGTCAAGACCTTAAAAAAAGTAGGACTATGTCATTGAAGAGGAGAGGGGTAGGTGTTCTAAACAGGGCATGTAAGAAGCATAAAACTCTAAGGTTCAGTTAGGCTTCAAATCTTTGGCTTTAGTGAAATAAGTGGCTTACACTGCAGTCAGGTGTTGTTGGGTAATGTGGACTGCAGCAAGATTTTAGGGGACCCTTAATGCTAGGTGGGAGAATTTTAACTTTATATACAGTGGATAAGTATCAAACAATATTGAGAAGAGTTATATCTTACAACTGATATTGTAAAAATATACATAAAGTAACATGGAGTATAAGGAATTCCAACTGGAGGGTAGAAAAGAAAACCAGAAAGCAATAATATCACTATCAGCATTCTGTTTAATTATTAAAGGCG